TCTTACTGCAGTCAAGAATATTTTTCGTTATCTTAACGGCTCAATTTCGTTAGGATTGTGGTAACCTTCGAAACTGGTTTCTTTATTCAAGCTTTCTCAAATGCTGACTTGGTAGGTCGCAATCTTCATCGTAAAAGCACAAGTGGAGGATGTCAATTACTGGATGGGAAATTGGTGACCTGACAATCAAAGAAGCAAACATGTGTATCAATTTCAACTACTGAAGCTGAATATGTAGCTACTGCTGCTTGCACATCCCAAATAATTTGGATTCAAAGTCAATTACGTGATTATGCAATAAACATGAAAAGAAATCCATTATATTGTGATTCTCAAAGTGCAATTCGTATTTGTCATAAGCCAGTGCAACATTCGAAGACTAAACATATTGCTTTTGGTTACTATTTCATAAAAGATCATGTATAAGATGGTAATATTGAAGTGCATTTTGTGAAAACCACTGATCAGTTAGATGATATTTTCACAAAACCATTAGATGAAAAATCGTTTGTGAGAATTCTAGGTGGACTTGGAATGGTTGAAGGGTGTTCAATTTCAAAAGAATAGCGATACACAGGGACAACTGTCAAATTCAACATTTACTGTTCATAGTCAACGCTTCGTGATCCTTCGTCTTCGTTAATTGAAACTAGAAAATTCATGTGTTCGGTACATTTCAAATATTTTCGTTATGTAATTTTTATTTTTGAAAAATTCAAAAACAACAAAAAGATTTTTCGTTTGTTTTGTCCTATATTTTCTAAAAATTCAAAAACAACAAAAGATTTTTATTTTGTTTGTTTTGTCATTTCTTTTCAAAAATCACAAAAACAACAAAAAGATTTTTATTTGTTTTTTTTATTTTCGAAATATCAAAAATCCCAAGAATATTTTATTTATATTGTTTTGTTTCAGGTAACAAAGCTGATTCTTAATGGTTAATCCTTGCAGTTCTAGGGTCATGTAATTCTTTCGAAACTCTTGAACTACATAAGGTGTCCCTAGAAGCATGCTGCAGCATGTTGACCAAAGCCTCGAATGACTCTATGTGTGTTTAAAGAAAGCCTTAATGAAATATTTCATACGAAAATTTCTTCACAAGACAGACTTATATTCACATTAGTCACATTAGCTACCTGACTCTTCTCACATGAGTTAAGAGTTTATTGTTTTGTTCATAATAACAGAGGTACACATGAATTCTTAAACTAATCTTTTTCATCTAAACATTCTTACACGATCACACACAAAGACATATGTCTGAGAGGTCTTCGGTCAAACCAATCGAGACTTAGACATATCAAAATTTTTCGTTAATGATCTAACATGATGAGACCGTGATAAAAGTGAAACCCAATTCTCGAGATTTTAAGGAATTGAAGGAGAACTTTGTTCTAGTTTTTAACAAAATTTTTGTTTTTGTACCGAGATTCGAAACTCTAAATCATATTTATTTCGTATGAGTGATCTTGATCAAATTATCGAAACCCATGATGTTTGTTACCCAATAGGATCCAACACAAATATTTTTCTTGAATATGATTTCCGTGTGATCTTCGTTTGATTTCTAAGCCCGTTTTTGCCATTTTTTGCCCGATTTTCAATATTTTTAGCATTTTAAGCTCGTTTTTCATCATTTTAAAGTAGGATTTTCACCCAAAACTTTATTTTAACATATTAAAACCCATATGTATTAATTATTCACGTTTTTAATATAAATCTTATCCAAGATTTAGTGGTTGGAGTAATAAAGGTGGAGTGTTCACTTTCCTTTAGCTTATGACACAAGCAACCCCTCACACCCACTCCTTGACCAGCCACACTCCTTCTACCATGCCTTGGTCATGTCAATGTACTCGTTCATCATTTCCAACCTTTTTACCATATTATTAGAGCTGGAACATCACTCCACACTCCTCACTTCACTCATTTCTCTCATTTTACCAAAAGATCGAACACAACTTTCTCTTACTTTCTCTCTCTAAAAATTCGAGATTCAAGGCTGATCATCAAGCTTTCTTACACTCTTGGTAAGTATAATTCATCCTCCTTGTGATAATTACACTTCATTTTATTCAAATCATTGATTTCTTATACAAATTCCATCATTATGGTGTTAGATTCTTGAATCTTCAAACTAATCCTTCAAGTGTTCTTGAGTTGAACACTTCTCTTCTCCAACATCCATCCACCAAAATCATTCAATGTGAGTTCATACCCATATATTTTCAAATTTTCTTAAGTTTTAAGGGGGGTGGGGGGGGGGGGAATACAAGCTAAATCACCAACAACACAATTAAATGTTTCTAACAGCTTACATCAGAAAAGTTCGACTCCATTCATGGATGGTTTTGTTCAACTAAAACATTTTAGTTTTCAAAACTGTACAAGGTGAAAGTAGTTCAAGTTCTTATCTTTAAAATGTCTACTTGCACATCTCCATACGATTTTTTTACAATTTATGGTGATTTTTACAAAATTGCCTACCATTTCAAGAGCCAATATGGACCGGTCTGTGTTATGGACGTTTTCACCTAAGTTGGAGGTCAATAAAAATCATGGGAAAATATATAAACAAACTAGACTCGTTCTCTAAACTTCCAGAATTTACGGATTCTGATTTGGATCTATTATGAATTCTCTATAAATTTTCTAAGAACTATAACGGAATCTGTTAATAACAGATAAATACTAACAATTTCATTTCACCTTGTAACATGCCGAGCAAGGTGTACATCTTTATGTGAATATATGTTATTGTAAGTAAATGACATTTTGTCTTGGTATATAGACATACATCAGTTTATAAATGGATTTTGATACATATATAAAAGATAACAAGTTGTTATAATCAAAGTACATCCATTTCATACGAACATTTGAGTAAACGATATAAAAGATAACAAGTTGTTATATAGACGTACATCAGTTTATAAATGGATTTTGATACATATATAAAAGATAACAAGTTGTTATAATCAAATTACATCCATTTCATACGAACATTTGAATAAACTATGTTAAAGAGAGTTTACGTACATTACCACTACTACCCTTGTTTTGATAAACTATAATAGGTATAGTTTATGATACATTACATAACACTCTCATAAAAAAGGGTACATTTATACAAAAAGGGATTTTCATTACATTACACGTAAATTCGTTAATGACTTTGTGAGACATTCGCTTCACGTTTACCAATAAGTCCTATATTGTAACCAGAGTCTCCTGAAGGGAGAGCGTGATAGTTGTATATAGATCTATATTGGGATTGACAAACCAACACCTTAACTGCATGCAATAGTTAGACCGGCAGGTCTGGGGTGACAAATATCATAACATTTCCGACGCCTGAAGAACGTCATTTCAGGCCAACTAGGTCGTAGCATGGTTATAATAACTCACAAAAAGTATTAACAAACATAAGAATTTACGGGAATTTCATTGATTTCAAACAAATTTATGTCGATTTAAACTTACATTATTTTCCATAAGTAAGAAAGGTAACTTATACATTTCGGTCTTTGGGTATAAGACTACATTACACATTTTAAGAAAAATATCGGATTTTTCTTGAATAAAATGACATTTACAAGAGAAAGGCTTTTATCAAATTTAAAACAAAAGATTATGAACTCACCAACCTTTGTGTTGACACTTTTCAAACAACTTGTATTTTCAGGAAATCACTAAACATGTATTCAAAGTGCATTTTGAGGATGGAACGTTAAGGCGTCAACATTTCATATTTTGTCAACATATTGTAATTGATTTGGAAATATGTAATTCATACAACGATGTAACTCTTTCAATTATATATATGTTGGTTGTGTTTGCTTGACTTACTATTGCCATTATGGTTATGATACTATACATGAAGTCCTCCACCCTCGGACGTTTCCGCCATCCTTGGTTTGGGGGTGTGACATCTATCCAGTTTTCAAGGAGAACTGACAGTTACTTTTTCACGCGTGGCTACTTTATCAGAATAGTGGTGCGAGTTTCAAGGTGCCACGCCGGATTTCATTAAATGAACATCCCACTTCAAATTCCAATTTCAAGGTTACATATAAAAAGGAATTCAATGGTTTTTTATCAGTTTACGCTTTCAGAAGAAAAATTCGCAAATTCTCTCTGAAAAATCCAATTGTTCTTTATACGATTTTAAAACCCTAGTCATGGCTGATCAAACTCGTGTTGATGCACCATCACAAACCACTGAAGGTGTTACTTCACAACTGATAATGAGGATTCAAGGGACAAATTATCAAGTAGAAGCAAATGAATCTCTTTACCCTGAAGGATTAAAGATGTTGGTGGTCGCTTTGAAGAGTTGCGTTCTTTCGACAGCTACGTTCAATTCTTTTGCGTTACCTCTGTCATGGCTTTCACAAGTAGGTTCTACTGCAACATATTCTAAAGCCCTAGATGTCATCACCTTCAACTTGGTGAATGATAAGAAGGTACGATTGGCGAAGAAGCAGTTTTGTCAAATCTTGGATATTCCAAAGCCTCAACCGTTTAGTAATTTTTCAACTGATCAAATGAACATCCCACTCACAAAGACTTGTGATTTTAAAAAATCTGGTCTTCCGACGATCTGGAATTTCTTGTTTGAAATCTTTTTACGATGCTTAAGAGGTTGAAGTGTTATGCTTGATAAAAGACGCATGGAAGTCTATGCAATGGTTGGAGGCGTCTATTATGATATACCGATGGACTATTGTATGCAGCTATGGAAAGAATTTCAAAAGAGTGTACAGAATACGAATGTCGTGCAAGGTATTTCATGTGCACGATATTGGAGTCTTCTTCTGAGGTATTTTTATGATAAAGAGGGAATTCTGGTGGATGCTGAGGAGGAAACAGTAGATTTTCTGAAGTATAGTTTTCCAAAAGAAGTGAATGATGATACATAAGTTTTTTCACATGTTGCACGAATCCCAGATGCCATGTTGAAGAAAGTTGATCCAAAATATGTTGTACTTATTGCATACATGACAATAATTGATCCCAAAAATGAAACTGGGAAGTTGTTAATGAAAGCATGTACGGGTCCTTCGAAGAAGTCTAGGACTACAAAAAAGATTGACATTCTCATTCCTGAGCCAATTGTTAATGAAACGAAGACATCAAAGTCTCAAAAGACGAAGGCCGATGAGGTAGTTTCAAAATTTGTTATAAAACTTGTTGAACCTATTGTTACAGAACCAACTTCAGTTACCATTCCTTCAAAGACTGGAGTTTTTTGTAAATTAAGGCTGAAGTATGGTGGTTCTCCTACTTCAAATGTGGTTCGGAAGCCTCATCCTACTTATCAAGGAGTACTTATGCATGAAGTCCCAGCTCTAGTTTCTCCTCACTCAAAGAAATGAAGGGCTGAGGATATGGCTAAGAAGATTTCGAAGAAAAAGAAGAAGACAAAGAAGAGGCAAGTAGTAATTCCAACGGAATCATCTGAAGAAGAACAAGTGCCAGAAACACCTAAACCTGAACCTATTATACAACCTACTTGTCCTGAGAAGAGTGTTGTCATACCACCCAAAGTTTCGTCTACCAAATCGTCTCATGAGGAGGTACGAACTTCAGATATCACTACTAACGTATGTAACAGCCCGAATCCCCATGTATCTTTACTTTCATATTTTCGATATTCTGTGAGGGGACTTGGCGAGTTGGAGGTCGAACTCGCTGAGTCGGGTCGTGGTTTTGGATGGAGGTTCGCATCCGGACTCGGCGAGTCCAAGGGATGGACTCGGCGAGTCCGTGCTGTTTAATGAAACCCTAATTTCCCAGTCCTAAGCTCTATTTAAAGGACCTTATGGCCTTCATTTGCGGCCACCTTGAACCCTAAGTGCACCCATACGACTGAGAGACCTTGTGAGTGTGATAAGAGGCCATTTGTTCATCATTTTGTGTATTATTGCAAGAAAGGAGGGAGAAGATCAAGCTTGAAGAGTTAGGGAGCTTGGATCTACTTCTATTTCATCAAGGGAACCTTCTTGAGGTAACTTTCAGAGCTAAACTTCGCATTTTGGGTTGATGTGTCAAATCTAGGGTTTCTTTTTGCCTTATTTGGCTTAAATTGGAAGTATGAAAGGTCCCATGGAGATATGGAACCTAGATCTGGACCTTAGCAGGTCCAGGAGGCCCCATATGACAAGCTTTATGTCCATTCTTTTGGGTTGGAAGCTAGGGTTGCCATATTAGAGGTTATTTCTCCAAAATGAGCCTTGTATGGGTTGCATGGCGACCAAGACTGAGACCTTACGTGATAAATGAGCTTGCGAAGGCCAGATCTATGTGTGTATGGAACGGATCTGACCGCAAAATCCAGTTTTAGCTGATGCATGGCATGAACTCGCCGAGTCCAAAGAACAGACTCGACGAGTCGCTTGAAGATTGTCCTTGAGACCACCCAGTGTGTAGTCCTGCCGAGTTATGGGTGACTCAGTGAGTCATAGTGAGTTAGAAAGGTTTTGATAGGTGGACCGAGTCAAGTTGGGACTCGCCGAGTTGTCCTTGCGACTCGGCGAGTTGAGTCGCGGTGGCCCCGTGATTCAGGCCCAGGTGGAACTCGTCGAGTCAAGGGAGTACTCGACGAGTTAAAGGGAAAATCCTTGCGAGTTGGTTAAAACGCGTAGACTCACCGAGTCCCTATAGTGCACTCGCCGAGTCCGGTCAAATGGACCGAAGACTGTTGACCAAGTCAACCTGTGTTGACTTGATAAGGATGGTCAACCTTAGTGGTACAAGTAATAATTTTATATTTATGATGTCATAGGAGGATTACAGCTCGGGGGTTCGAGCACGAGTGATTCAAGGGTTCCAAATTAGCGAGAGATACGAGGTGAGTCTTCTCACTATACTGTACCCGGAAGGGTTTGACTGTGTGACCGGAAGGTCAAATATGATATGAGATATATGCCTTATGTGTGATAAGTTATTCGTTATATGTCCCATGTATGATATGCTTGATTTGGGCCGGAAGGCAACATGTTATGGGCCGGAAGGCGTGGTCGTATGGACCGTAAGGTTGACGTGGGTAGGACCGGAAGGTCTACCCAGTCGGGACGGAAGTCCCCTGAGACACATGGACCAGAAGGTCAAGGCCTGGAAAGGCGTACGTGCATAGGTTGTATTTTGGGGAACTCACTAAGCATTTATGCTTACAGTTGTTGTGTTATGTGTTTCAGGTACTAGCGAGGACCGTGGGAAGACGCCGGTGTGATCGTACACACACTCGGGGAAACCATTTTGTGATCTTTTGTGATGTAATCAGTCGTGACTAAATTGTTACATTGGAACCTAAACTTGTTACTCGATGTTTGATGATTGTAAAAATGAAAAAATTTTGGTTTCGAAATTTATGACGTTACAAGTTGGTATCAGCGCCTTGGTTTGAGGGATTCGGGTACACCTTCGGGCGTAACTGAACTCGAACCGTGGATTTGAGAAAATTTTAATTAATTAATCAAAAAAAATTGATAAGTGATTTTGAGACAACCAAAGAAGAAAGAGTGTGTACGGTCAGCCAGCGCCCGAACGGTAAAATCCCCAAAATACTCTTACAATATGTGTTATGAGATATGATATGATATGATACGCATGCTAGTAGACTAGGTATACATATTAGGACTAGAGTGGCCTGATTTTGTGATGCCTTAGTCTAGGGAAACCTGCTTCTATGAGGTGCTTGAGAGCGAGTGGGTAACTAGTGTATGACAAGAATAGAGTACTCAGGATTCGATATTTGGGGAGGAGGACTTGGGGTGAATACTGACGCGGTGTAATTGGTAGTATTGGGCCCGTACTACCAAGGACACCGGGTCAGTGGGCAGCCCAAGTAAGAATCCTTGGGTATCGGAGACTGAGTAGGATTGCGTTATCGAGTGCAATTATGCCCGATAGAGTCTCTGATATTTTTATGTTGTATTTCAGACACATCATGGTTGGACCACGACGCAGACGTGGTACAAGTGGTGTGACTGACGAGGAGCTTCGTCAGATGATTCATGAGGAGGTAGCTACAGCGATCCGGGTCGAGATTCCGGAGATGTTTGGGTCTATTAAGACCACACTGATAGAGACCTTTGATGAGCGGTACGCCGCATTGACTGAGGCTGTTGCCGCTGCAGCTACCGTAGTTGTGGCTGCTGCCAGACCACAGGGAGGTGACTCGTTGCTGTTCCAGGAGTTGATCAGCAACACGAAGCCACCAGAGTTTGACGGAATGCAGGATCCGATTGCTGCGATGAGATGGATTGCTGATATCAAGGGATGCTTCTATACTTGTTCATGTCCGGAGAATCTGAGGGTACGGTTCGCCTTGAACCAGCTCCGCCTGGGAGTAAAGTATTGGTGGAAGTTTGTGACGGCGAACTTCACTCTGGCAGAGGTCTCAGCTGTGACTTGGGAGAAGTTTACTGATATGTTCAGAGACGAGTATGTTCCCCTGGTGGAGAGGGAACGGTTGGTTCAGGACTTCTTGACCCTCAAGCAGGGTAATGATTCTGTTACGGTGATCACGCGGAAGTTTCATGAGAGGGCGATGTTCTGCCCCGAGCAGGTGTCCACGGAGCAGGCTCGGATGAGTCGGTATTTGGGAGTGCTGAGGAGGGATATCCGGGAGTTCGTATCGAACTCTTCATATCAGACTTTTGATGAGCTTCAGGCGAATGCCGGGAAGCGTGAAATCGAGTTGGAGACCCAGGCCCGGGAGGAGGCCGAGTCTCAACGGGTGGATCGGCGGCCGACTCAGTCTCAGCCGGCAGCCAAGCAGATCAAGTCCGCCGATTCTAGATCTGGAGGTCAGAAGATCCGCAATTGCGGAAAGTGCGGCAAGGGTCATTAGGGGGCATGTCGATCGGTTGCTTGCTACAAGTGTGGCAAGGAGGGGCACATTGCTAGAGATTGCCCCAAGGGATTCATGGTTTGCTTTCATTGCAACCAGACTGGCCATCGGAAGGTCGAGTGCCCCCAGCTTCGCCAGGGATCTACGCCTGCTGCCAGGGTTCCCGAGGTTCGGCCAGTGAAGGCCGAGGCTCCGAAGGCTCGTGGGAGAGCTTTCTAGTTGACTGCGGAGAAGGTCCGCGCGGTGCCTGATGTCGTGGCTGGTATGTATTCTTTCATGTATTTACATTTATACTGAGATATTGTGCTTATATTATTATATGCGTATGTACTTTTCTTGTGAATCATGTGCCTGCTTTGGTATTATTCGACTCGGGTGCGAGTCGGTCTTTTGTTTCGTTGGCTTTTAACCAGCACATCGGTATCGATCGGGAGGTGATGAGTCGACCCCTGCGAGTTGCTATAGCAAATGAGAAAGCGGTATACACCACTGAGGTGATTCGAGGATGCGTGCTCGAGATTTTTAGGGTCGAGTTTCCTATAGACATGGTCCCTATAGCTATGGGGGATGTCTGCGTTATCGTGGGCATGGACTAGTTGAGTAAGTTTGGAGCAGTCATTGACTACGAGAGACAGCTGGTGATGATTCGAGACCCTAGTGGGGGAGTGCTCACGGTTTATGGCAAGGGGACCCGGTGTGGGTCGGCGTTTTGTTCGGCTACAAGGGCAAGGCAAAGTTTGCAGCAGGGCTGTGATGAATTCATAGCCTATGTGATGGATACTCGTGTGACCGCGGAGAGGCCCAATTCGATTGATGACGTCCCGGTTGTATGCGAGTTTTCGAATGTGTTCCCCGAAGAGTTACCGGGTGTGCCTCCGGAGAGGCAAGTGGAGTTTCGTATCGATTTGGTTCCGGGAGCGGCGCCCATCGCCAAGGCGCCTTATCGTCTCGCTCCGCCGGAAATGCAGGAATTATCCTCGCAGCTTCAGGAGCTGTTGGCAAAGGGATTCATTTGACTGAGTAGCTCGCCTTGGGGAGCGTCGATTTTGTTCGTCAAGAAAAAGGATGGTTCACACCGGATGTGTATCGATTATCGGGAGTTGAACAAGTTGACGGTTAAGAACCGATATCCGTTACCTAGGATCGACGATCTGTTCGATTAGTTGCAGGGGGCATCTTGGTTTTCCAAGATTTACTTGAGGTCGGGGTATCATCAGATGAGGGTTCGAGAGGAAGATATCCAAAAAATTGCTTTCAGGACTCGTTATGGACATTATGAGTTTGTGGTGATGCCTTTTGGGCTCACCAATGCCCCGGGCGCGTTCATGGATCTCATAAACCGGGTGTGCCGACCGATGCTGGATCGGTCGGTGATCGTATTCATCGATGATATTTTGGTGTATTCAAGGACTAGGGATCAGCATGAGGAACATTTGAGGGAAATTCTTGGGGTTTTGAGATCGGAGATACTGTATGCCAAGTTCTCCAAGTGTGATTTCTGGTTACGAGAGGTCCAGTTCCTCAGGCATCTTGTTAACCAGAAAGGGATATTGGTTGACCCAGCCAAGATTGAAGCGGTGTTGAGGTGGGAGGTGTCGAGATCGCCCACCGAGATCAGGAGTTTTCTGGGTTTGGCTGGATATTATCGCAGGTTTATCAAGGATTTCTCCAATATCGATGTGCCACTCACTAGGATGACCCGAAAGGGTGTTATGTTTTCATAGGGACCGGAGCAGCAGTCCTCATTCGAGACGCTTCGTCAGAAATTGTGCGAGGCTCCAGTGCTTGCACTCCCGGAAGGGATGGAGGATTTTGTGGTATACTGTGATGCCTCTATATCGGGTTTGGGGGCGGTGCTTATGCAGAAGGGTCATGTGATAGCGTATGCTTCGAGACAGTTGAAGCCTCATGTGTCGAGATATCCCACGCACGACCTAGAATTGGGGGCGGTGGTGTTTGCCCTCAAGATCTGGCGATACTATTTGTATGGGGTTTGGTGTACGATATACACGGACCATAAGAGCTTGAAGTACTTGATGGATCAGCTAAATCTGAATATGCGACATAGAAGGTGGTTGGATGTGGTGAAGGATTATGATTGTGAGATCCTGTACCACCCGGGCAAGGCTAATGTGGTAGCCGACGCATTGAGCCGTAGGGCGGATAGCGCCCCGATCCGAGATATTTGTATGAGATTGACAGTATTGACCTCGATTTTGGACATTATTCGAGGAGCTCAGGTGGAGGCTGCGAAGCCAGAACATCAAAAGAAGGAGCGGGTTGTAGGTTAGGTATCAGGATTTGTCACGGATGGTCGAGGGCTTATGACTTTTCAGGGTCGGATTTGGGTACCGTTTGTGGGCGGTGCGCGTACTATTTTGATAGAGGAAGCACATCGATCGAAATTCTCAATTCATCCCGGTGCTACGAAAATGTATTTGGATCTCAAGAAGGAGTACTGGTGGCCCTGTATGAAATGGGATGTCGCTTGGTTTGTCGAGAGGTGCTTGACTTGTCGGCAGGTCAAGGCCGAGCACCAGCGACTGCACAGTAAGCTGCAACTGCTAGAGATTCCCGAATGGAAGTGGGAACAAATCACTATGGATTTCATCACCAAGTTACCGCGAACTGCGAGGGGAGTCGATGCGATTTGGATGATCGTGGATCGGCTAACGAAGAGCGCTCATTTTCTAGCCATCAGCGAGAGCTCTTCTGCGGAGAAGTTGGCCGAGTTATATGTGAGGGAGGTAGTATCTCGGCATGGGGTGCCGATCTCGATTATTTCGGACCGTGACGTGCGTTTTACTTCCAGGTTCTGGAAGATGTTTCATGAGGAGTTAGGTACTAGGTTACATTTCAGTACTGCATATCATCCCCAGACAGACGGTCAGAGTGAGCGGACGATTCAAACACTCGAGGACATGCTTCGGGCATGTGTGTTGGACTTCGGAGGAAGCTGGGACACCTATCTACCTTTATCAGAGTTCTCGTATAACAACAGCCATCATTCGAGCATTGGTATGCCACCCTTTGAGTTGTTGTATTGGCGGAGGTGTCGCACCCCCATCTGTTGGGGTGAGGTACGATAGCAGGTTATGGGTAGCACGGAGATCGTACTTCAGACGACTGAGCAAATTCAGCTGGTCAGGCAGAGGTTGTTGACCGCTCAGAGCCGACAGAAGAGTTATGCAGACAGACGACGGTCCGAGCTTGAGTTTCAAGTTGGTGATCTTGTACTCCTGAAGGTCTCTCCTTGGAAAGGAGTGATTCGGTTCAGGAAGAGGAGCAAGTTGGGGCCCTGATATATTGGTCCTTTCCGTATGATCGCGAGGGTGGGTCGGGTAGCCTACTGTTTAGACTTGCCAGCAGAGTTGGGTCAGATTCACGACACTTTCCATGTGTCGCAGTTGAGGAAGTGTATAGCCGACGAATCGGCGTTGGTTCCATTAGAGGATATTCAGGTGGATGCAAGCCTGAATTATGCTGAAAGACCAGTAGCCATCAGAGATCGGAAGATCAAGGTTTTGAGGAACAAGGAGGTACCCCTGGTATTGGTTCAGTGGTAGCATCGGAAGGGATCAGAGATGACCTGGGAGCCGGAACATGAGATGCGTGAGCAGCATCCGGAGCTATTTGCCTAGCGGGACTTCGAGGGCGAAGTCTTGTTCTAGTGGGGGAGAATTATAACAGCCCAGATACCCAAGTATCTTTACTTTCATATTTTTGATATTCTGTGAGGGGACTCGGCGAGTTGGAGGTCGAACTCGCCGAGTCGGGTCGCGGTTTTGGATGGAGGTTCGCGTCCGGACTCGGCGAGTCCAAGGGATGGACTCGGCGAGTCCGTGCTGTTTAATGAAACCCTAATTTCCCGGTCCTAAGCCCTATTTAAAGGACCTTATGGCCTTCATTTGCGGCCACCTTGAACCCTAAGTGCACCCATACGACTGAGAGACCTTGTGAGTGTGATAAGAGGCCATTTGTTCATCATTTTGTGTATTATTGCAAGAAAGGAGGGAGAAGATCAAGCTTGAAGAGTTGGGGAGCTTGGATCTACTTCTATTTCATCAAGGGAACCTTCTTGAGGTAACTTTCAGAGCTAAACTTCGTATTTTGGGTTGATGTGTCAAATCTAGGGTTTCTTTTTTCCTTATTTGGCTTAAATTGGAAGTATGAAAGGTCCCATGGAGATATGGAACCTAGATCTGGACCTTAGCAGGTCCAGGAGGCCCCATATGACAAGCTTTATGTCCATTCTTTTGGGTTGGAAGCTAGGGTTGCCATATTAGAGGTTATTTCTCCAAAATGAGCCTTGTATGGGTTGCATGGCGACCAAGACTGAGACCTTACGTGATAAATGAGCTTGCGAAGGCCAGATCTATGTGTGTATGGAACGGATCTGACCGCAAAAGCCAGTTTTAGCTGATGCATGGCATGAACTCGCCGAGTCCAAAGAACAGACTCGACGAGTCGCTTGAAGATTGTCCTTGAGACCACCCAGTGTGTAGTCCTGCCGAGTTGTGGGTGACTCAGTGAGTCATAGTGAGTTAGAAAGGTTTTGACAGGTGGACCGAGTCAAGTTGGGACTCGCCGAGTTGTCCTTGCGACTCGGCGAGTTGAGTCGCGGTGGCCCCGTGATTCAGGCCCAGGTGGAACTCGTCGAGTCAAGGGAGTACTCGACGAGTTAAAGGGAAAATCCTTGCGAGTTGGTTAAAACGCGTAGACTCACCGAGTCCCTATAGTGCACTCGCCGAGTCCGGTCAAATGGACCGAAGACTGTTGACCAAGTCAACCTGTGTTGACTTGATAAGGATGGTCAACCTTAGTGGTACAAGTAATAATTATATATTTATGATGTCATAGGAGGATTACAGCTCGGGGGTTCGAGCACGAGTGATTCAAGGGTTCCAAATTAGCGAGAGATACGAGGTGAGTCTTCTCACTATACTGTACCCGGAAGGGTTTGACTGTGTGACCGGAAGGTCGAATATGATATGAGATATATGCCTTATGTGTGATAAGTTATTCGTTATATGTGCCATGTATGATATGCTTGATTTGGGCCGGAAGGCGTGGTCGTATGGACCGTAAGGTTGACGTGGGTAGGATCGGAAGATCTACCCAGTCGGGATGGAAGTCCCCTGAGACACATGGACCAGAAGGTCATGGCCTGGAAAGGCGTACGTGCGTAGGTTGTATTTTGGGGAACTCACTAAGCATTTATGCTTATAGTTGTTGTGTTATGTGTTTCAGGTACTACCGAGGACCGTGGGAAGGCGCCGGCGTGATCGTACACACACTCGGGGAAACCATTTTGTGATCTTTTGTGATGTAATCGGTCGTGACTAAATTGTTACATTGGAACCTAAATTTATTACTCGATGTTTGATGATTGTAAAAATGAAAAATTTTTGGTTTCGAAATTTATGACGTTACAACGTATCTGATATGGGTGCAAATGTCATCATGGGTGAAGGAGATCTAACGAAGGAAACTACTCAACCTCCACCAGGTACTTCAATTATTATTTCTATCAAACCCATTACAAGTAACTTTGTTTCTTTACCTCCATTTATCATCCCTACTACATCCACCACTGATTCACCAACCTTCCAAAAGATCATCGACCAACCTTTTACATCCATTTTTTCATCTCAATCCACTGATCCACCAAAATCGAATGTTGAATCTGAAAATGAAGGAGGCTTTGGTGGTACATTTGAAGATTTGGCTGTTGATGAAGAAGTGGAGGATTTCCCTGACCATATGCTCATGTCTATAAAACAATTCAAAATACTGAATAAAAAGTTGAATTCAATTATTCAGTATCAAGCAGACGTGGGGGGAGGCAGTTCAATGTCCAGTTCCGAACTTGATGGACTGATGAAGGCTTTTGAGGCACGAATGGCGAACAGGATGTCTGGTATGATTAAAGACTCAGAGGTGAGAATCCTGGAAAAGGTCGATCATGCTGATCAGACAACAAATTTGAGGATAAATTCTTTCAATTCAAAATATGTGGGAGCTGTGAAATAATTTCAAAAGCAACGACACACACTTTTCATAATGGATGTGAAGAAGGTGAGAGAAGATGTAAATTTGAAGCTTCAAGAGCTTTGTGATGACATGGTTCGTGAAGTTACAGTTGTTCATAATGACTATGCTACTTTGCATAAGAAAGTAGATATCATTTGTGATGCTGTCACGAAGTATGTTACGTTGTGTGAAAGTTTGAGTCCTCAAATTAGTCAACTTTCTACAACTATCAATCAAAAATTTGGGGAGGCTATCTCGATGATTAAAGATTCGAAGGATTCAGTGTTAAAGTCTGCTACATCTTTGATAATTACTCATGAGTTCCTCTTACAGAAGTTTACCCAGTTCGAAGCCATTATTCATAGACAACTAGCTCCTCTGTCCACTATTTCGAATCTTCTTCCAACTAGTGCCCCACCTGTTCGAACAGGGGTGCAAGGGGGAGAAAAGAGAGTTGGAGAAGGATCTCATGCGAAGGATGGTGGTGATGCTTTGCATGGAGAAGCTAAATTGTGGGTAAAGTTTATCATTCAAAGTTTCCATCGACTAAGCCTAGAATTTCGAGTGTTGGACTAGTTATTTCAACTGTTGTAACGTCCATGCCGATCACAAAGTTGATTTCGAAGGGGATTGTTATTAGATCATCTACTGGCCAAGATGAAGCTTCGAAAACAAAGGATGCTACAGATAAATCAACATACAAAGGCAATACAATTTTTGTTGAAAAATCAAAAGAAGAGAAGAAAGTAGAAGTCGAAGCAGAGATGGAAAAGCTAAGGGTAGTTCAGAGTATAATGAAGCAAAGGGTGAGTGATCCTCTAATTTTGAACAAAGGAGATCCTGCCGAACTTTATAACAACAAAATGATAGAAGCGAAGGTGGCTTACAACCACATGTATGCATTTGAGAAGAAACCGAAATAGAGTTACATGGTTTCGAATGCAGACACGAGCCAACTGGATTTTCCAATTAATGAGATGATGTTCCTCATGCCTCAATTCAAAATATCATATTAATTCAAGAGTGAAGATGACTATAACTACATGAAGCTTCGTTTTCATGCAGTACTTACGAAGGCTCCATAAGAAATCTGGTCACTGATAAAAATCAAGAAGGTTATAAGCATCAAGATGGACGTATTATTCGAAGACATGATGAAAAATGTAAAATTCATTGTTTCAAGGGCTAATGGTCAGACTTGTGATTTCACAGTGGCAGATTTTCCTCTCATGAATCTGTATGACCTTATTCAAATGGTTGTTCTCCTGAAAGATAAAAATTCTTCCTACCTTCGAGAAACAGAACCTGATGTTTTTTATTGGGAGTGGCTCACCTCAAGATTTTCTTGGAGCAATAATACGAGTGTTTAGCACTTACTGATGTGGAGCTAGCAATAGTGAAAGGGCTTGAAGTCAAACTACCCATGGAGCCATCCGAGTCTCAACAAGAATTGAAGAAATATGCTAATGGGGAAATATGTTTGAAGCCTTTTGGTTTGGTTTTTGCTGGTAAAGATAAAGCTGGAAGGTCAAAGAGGTTTTTGTTCCAAATCTTTGAAATTGAAAGATAGACAACGTCTCAATATACGAACTTCATTGTTCGTATGAATAATTGCATGAAGAACAACGAAGGAGATAAGAAGGAGCTGAAGAAGATTATTTCCTAGTACACGGAAGTTCAAAGGGTGATGATGTATGGAATCCAGATTCTCAAAACCTGAGAATTCGACTTCATTCCAAAGGGGGAGATTGTTAGGGTCGAAGAAATTTTATAATGAGTCGAAGACCATACCCTTCGTGTACTTGTAATCTATTTACTAAGAAGTCTCTTTGTACGAAGCTTAAATGTAATGTCTTAGTATTTTTTGTATACTTTCTTGTTCCCTATAAATAAGAACTTTACTAAGAGTTAGAAAAAACGTTTTTACAGAACTTGTCTTTTGTACTCTCAATAAAACTGGGAAAGTATAATAGAGCTGGAACAAGATCATATTTACATCTCATGTTCTTTCATATCGTTTTTACTTTTATTTGATTCACGTTTAATTGATTAATGATTCATCAGTGTGGCATAACTAATGTTTGGAAAAATATATTGGGCATACTTGGTGTATGGCATGACCAGTGTTTAGAAAACATAGTGTACATGCTTGGAGCATGGGACAACTATTGTTTTAATTCAAGTATAAAGTTGATAATTAGAAACAATATACAATGAATAATGTGTAAGCAATATGGTGATAAAATAAAAGTTGTTCTATTTATATTCATAAGTTTTGAGACCATATTGGATTCGATTATTCTTGTGTTTCACTTTGCATGTTTTGACTTCCAGAATCACTAGATAAGTCATCCTGAATGACTAAGTTATTCAAACCATCCACATATGATAATACGTTGGAAGTAGGTATTAAGGCAAGACTATTATGAAGCTAGTTTGTAGATTTTCATGGTATTGGACATAACAAGAGTTGCTACAACATTCAAGAGTGCTCATAAATTTTGAGTATTGGATTCAACCGACGCTCATTCGAATCACTTCATGAATTTTATCACGAGTGATTATGAGACGATAATATCTTATATTCTTCAATCCTAGAGATATAAGTTGTTGCCTATGAGTTCGTTATGCATTGATTATGTAACACCGTAAATTTCAGAACAATTTTTCGCATTTTATAAAAACATAATTCATTTAATATTCGTAAAAACACCCATGTTTGAAATACAATTCATGTCATACAAAAATCCCAAGATCTCATAACATAAAATCCCGTGTGTGTGTACTGATCAAGTCGGCGCCTTCCCACGGTCGTCACTAGTACCTGAAACAAATAACACCAAACACTGTAAGCACAAAGCTTAGTGAGTTCCCCAAAATACCACATATAACACATATTAGCCACTCGAGGCTAAAACTCTGTGGGTCCGTGCACCCAAACTCTGTGAACCCTCAGGTTATAACTCTGTAAACATGCACAACATAAATCACATAGAATAATGCAGCGCATCACATAACACATATATAACATACAAGCATTGTATCACATAACTCTAATTACCTACTCAAGGTAAAGTATAGTGAGAAGACTCACCTCGTGTATCTCGATAACTTGCAAATCCCTGGAATCTCTCGTGCTCGATCCCCCGAACTATAATCTTCCTATAATACAATATATCTCTAATTAACACTTTTACAACTAAGGTTGACTAACCCTATCAAGTCAACACTGGTCAACTCTGGTCAACGGCCAACTTTGACCGGACTCGGCGAGTGCACCAAAGCAACTCGGCGAGTCTAACGCGTTCACTGACTCCCTCGGATCTTTTCTTGGCACATCGAGCACTCCCCTAACTTGACGAGTTCCACCTGCCATGAATCGCAGGGCAACCACGACTCAAATCGCTGAGTCTCAAGAACAACTCGGCGAGTTCCAGCTTGAATCAACCCTATAATGACTCTTCCTCGCTCACTGGGTTATCCCCCAACCCGGAGAGTCCACTCGCTGAACACTTTACGTGAAACCCCAACCCTACTCGCTGAGTCCCAAGAACAACTCGGCGAGTTCATGCCATGCACACACTTTTATTGACCTTCTGAGGTCAGATCTGCTTTCCCAAACCATAAATCTGGCCTTCCCAAGCATGAATGTCATGTAAAGTTCGAAACTTGATGCTTGTATAACCCCCGCAAGGCATCAAAAGGTGATTTGGTCCAAAAAATAACCACCTAGGTCCAATGACTCCATAATAACCCAAAAAGTTCCAATGGTTAAGGTCTCTGGACCTCTTTGAGTCTAGATCCAAGGCACAAACTTGAAGAGGGACCATTTGCTTCACATAATCACTCTCAAAGGGGTTATAAAACCCTAACTCTAAAGATCAACCCTATAACTGAAGGAGATTTGAACCATTACCTCAAAATGAAGCCTCTGGACTCTGGATCTGCTGTAATCTCACCTCTTCCTTGCTCTTTCCACCTTCCTCTTGCTAAACAAAGAATAAAAAGCCCAAAAGCGACTTCCTCTCTCCCAAAACGAATTAGCTCTGTTAGGTTTCTCTCAAGGGACTGGTAGCCGAAACGGGAGGCTATAAGTGCCCTCAAATAGGCTCCAAACCTGGAGAATTAGGGTTTCATTAAACAACGTGGACTCGCCGAGTCCACTCCTTGGACTCGCCGAGTCCAGACGTGAACCCTTGCCCAAATCGCAATCCTACTCGGCGAGTTTGAGCTCCAACTCGCCGAGTCTCCTCACAAAATACCAAAAATATAAGAATGAATAATACCTGGGAATTCGGGTTGTTACAATTCTCCCCCACTAGAACTAGACTTCACCCTCGAAGTCTCGCTCTGCAAATAACTCTGGATGGTGCTCGCCCATCTTACGCTCCGGCTCCCAAGTCATATCGGACCCTTTCCGATGTTGCCACTGAACCAAAACCAAGGGTACCTCCTTGTTCCTCAGAACCTTGATTTTCCGATCTCTAATTGCCACTGGTCACTCAACATAATTCAGGCTCGCATCCACCTGAATATCCTCTAATGGAACCACTGTCGACTCATCGGCTATACACTTCCGTAATTACGACACATGGAAAGTGTCGTGAATCTGCCCCAACTCTGTTGGCAATTCCAAACGATAGGCTACCCTGCCTACCCTCGCGACCACACGAAATGGACCAATATACCGGGGCCCCAACTTGCCCCTCTTCCTGAATCAAATCACTCCTTTCCAAGGAGAGACCTTCACGAGCACAACGTGGCCGACCTGAAACTCAAGCTCGGACCGGCGTCTGTCCGCATAACTCTTCTGACGACTCTGAGCGGTCAACAACCTCTATCTGACCTGCTGGATCTGTTCTGTCGTCTGAAGTACGATCTCAGTACTACCCATAACACGCTGTCCGACTTCTCCCCAGCAAATGGGGGTCCGACACCTCCTCCCATACAACAGCTCAAAGGGTGGCATACAAATGCTCGAATGATGGTTGTTGTTGTAAGAAAACTCTGCTAATGGCAAGTACGTATCCCAACTCCCCCTAAATCCATCACACATGCCCGGAGCATGTCCTCGAGCCTCTGAATCGTCCGCTCACTCTTCCCGTCTGTCTGGGGGTGATATGCGGTACTAAAATGCAGCCTAGTACCCAGCTCCTCATGAAACTTCTTCCAGAATCTGGAAGTGAAACCTACATCCCGGTCTGAGACAATCGAGATCAGCACCCCATGCCGAGATACCACTTCCCTCACGTACATCTCTGCTAACTTCTCTGCAGAGGAGCTCTCACTAATAGTAAGGAAGTGGGCACTCTTCGTCAACCTGTCCACAATCACCCAAATTGCATCAACTCCCCTCGCAGTCTTTGGCAACATGGTGATAAAATCCATGCTAATCTGTTCCCACTTCCATTAGGGAACCACCAACGGCTGCAACCTACCATGCTGTCTCTGGTGCTCGGCCTTAACCCTACGGCAGGTTAAGCACCTCTCAACAAACCACGCAACATCCCTCTTCATAGAGGGCCACCAATACTCCCTCCTCCGATCCAAATACATCTTAGTGGCTCCAGGATGGA